AAATATTAAGGGACATGAAGAAATCATGTAAGCACTAACACAATTGTAAGGGGGAACCTCAAAACCCCACTGTCACAACAGACAGATCAACTAGACAAAAAAATCAACAAAGAAGTATCAAAACTGAACCAAACTTGTGAACAAATGGACTTAGTAGATGTCCACAGTGTGTTCCACCCCACAACATCAGAATACACATTCCTCTCAGCTGCGCATGGGATATTTTCCAAAACAGACCACATACTAGCCCACAGAACATGCTTAAGTAAATGCAAAGGAATTGAAATTATCACATGCACATTATCAGCCTATAGTGCAATGAAATTGGAAATCAATAGCAAAAGAACCCCCCCAAAACATTATAAACACATGGAAATTAAATAACACCCTCCTGAACAACCCATGAGTCACAGATAAAATTAAAGAAGAAATTAGTTTCCACAATTAAATGACAATGCCAATACAACATACCAGAACTTATGGGATGTAATGAAAGCAGTCCCATGAGGGAAATTTATAGCAGTGAATTCCCATACGAGAAAAACAGTGAGTTCAAATAACCAACCTAATGTTGAATCTCAAGCTTCTAGAAAAAGAAGAGCAAATTAAGCCCAAAGCTCATATGAGGGAGGAAATTATAAAGATCAAGCAGAAATTAATGTAATGGAGACTAATGGAGACATTACAAAGAATCAATGAATTGAAGAGTTAGTTCTTTGAAAGATTAAATAAAATTGATATACTCTTAGCCAGCTTTATCAAAAAAGGGAAGACTCAAATCCATGTAATTAGGAATAAAAAAGGTAAAATCACATTGAATCCTGCAGAAATCCAGAAGATCATCAATACCTACTTTGAGAACTTGTACTCAAATAAGATGGAAAACACAGAAGAAATACACAGATTCCTAGAGACACATGAATTACCAAAGCCGAATGAAGAAAATATAAAACTTCTAAATATATCTGTCAATGAAATTGAATATGTAATTAAAAACCTAAAAGAAAAGCCCAGGCCCTGAGGGATTCACTACTGAATTCTACAAGAAATTTAGAGAAGATTTAATGCTGCTGCTACTCAAATTCTTTAATGAAAGAGAAAGAGAAGCAATACTCCTAAATTCATTGCTGGAAGTAAGCATTACCCTGATACCAAAACCAGGATCTAACTAAAACAGAGAGCTACAGGCCAATCTCCCTAATGAACATAGATGCAAAAATCTTCAGTGAGATACTGGTAAACAGAATGCAGGAAATCATCAAGAAGATTATACACCATGACCAAGTAGGATTCATTCCAGGGATGCACACATGGTTCACCATATGCAAATCCATAAACGCAATGCGCCATATTAACAGAGCCAAGGACAAAACCATATGATCATCTCGATAGATGCAAAAAAAGCATTTGAAAAAGCTCAACACCCATTCATGATAAAAACCCTATGAAATACTTTTTTCTTCTATTATCTTTATCCAGTTTTAGGATTAGCACAATGTTGAGTTCCTAAAATGAGGGGAGAAGTGTTCCTTCTTCTTTCTGCTTTAATTGTTTGATATAATTTATCAGTTAAAATGTTTATGAGCCTGCTGTTGTCATATAGGTAGGTTTTCAAGCTAGGAATATACTTTTTTTTTTTTTGGTACCGGGGATTGAACTCGGGTCTTTGCGCTTGCACAGCAGGTGGCAAAACCACTGAGCTAAATCCCCAGCCCTATACTTTCTCTAATAGGTCCTATTCAAATTTTATATTTCCTCCAGAGTTAGTTTCATTAATTTGTCTTCCAAGGTACTTCTTAGAAGTTGTCAAATTTATTTCAAAAAAGATTTTTGTAATATGCTTTCTATATCCTTTTAAATTCTATAAAATCTGTGGTAATGTCTCCTAGATCTTAATATTGTAATTTAAAAAATGTATAACTGATATTGCATAATAGGAAGAAAAGGTCTAAAAGAGCAGGGGAATTGGGAGGGGTAGGGGAAGGGAAAAAAGAGAAAGGAAAAAATAGGAGAAGAGGAAAAAAATGGAAACAAGGTCTTTGCAAATAGGGAAGGGAGGGCAAGGGAAGGGGAAAAAAATAAGAACCAAGATACTCATGTAATGGTACAAGATCCCAATGATGAATGTAACTGTATTTTATACCAAAAATGTACCAATAAAGTTAATGGGGGGGGGAAGAAAGAAAGAAAGAAAAAACCCTATGAAAATTGAAATAGATGGTGTTTATCTCAATCTGATAAAAGCCATATATTACAAACCAACAGCCAACATCACACTAAATGAACAAAAACTGAAGGCTCTCACTCTAAAACCAGGAAGACAAGGATGTTCACTGTCACCACTCTTATTGAACATAGTTCTGGAAACATAAGCCAGAGCAATTAGACAAGAGAAAGAAATAAAAGGATAAGAAAGGAAGAAGTTAAATTATCATTATTTGCGGATGATACTTTATATAGAAGACTCCCCAAACTCCACCAAAAGACTTGTGGATTTAATAACCAAGTTCAGTAACATAGCTGGATACAAAGTCAACACTCACAAATCAATAGCCTTCCTTACACGAATAACAAACTCACTGAGAGAGAAACTAGGGAAATCACACCTTTCACAATAGCATCCAAAAAACTGAAATACCTAGGAATCAATCTAATGAAGGACGTAAAAGACCTCTACATGGAAAACTACAGTACTCTGAAAAAGAAGATCGAAGAGGATTTTAGGAAATGGAAAGATATCCCTCGTTCTTGGGTAGGAAAAACCAATATAGTGAAAATGGCCATACATATAAAATTGTTATACAGATTTAATGCAGTCCAAATCAAAATACTAATAGCATATCTGACAGAATTAGAGAAAACAATCCTAAAATTTATTTGGACCCAGTAGAGACCTAAAATAACAAAAGCAATTCTGGGCAACAAAAGCAAGGCAAGGGGCATGACAATTTCTGACTTGAAATTATAATACAAAGCTACTATGATAAAAATGGCATGGTTTTGGCAAAAAAAAACAGACCCAAGGATCAGTGGAACAGACTAGAAGACACAGAAACAACTCCAAACACACTCAGCCACCTTATCTTTTACAAAGGAGCCAAACACTTTCACTGGAAGAAAGATAGCTTCTTTAATAAATGGTGCTGGAAAAACTAGCTTTCCACATGCCAAAGATTTGAACTAGACCCCTATCTTTCACCATGCACTGAACTAAAAGTGGATCAAAGATCTAAATATTAAAACAGAAACACTAAAGCTGCTAGAAGACAGAATATGTAGAACTTTTGATGACATAGGTGTATGCCAAGACTTTATGAACAAAACCCTGACTGCACAGGAAATATCACATAGAATCAACAACTGGAATCACATCTTATTAAAAGGCATTTGAATAGCAAAAGAAACCACCAGCAGTGTAAAGAGACAAGCCACAGAGTGGGAAAAATTTTTTGCCAGGTTTTCCTTAGATAAAGGACTAATAGACCCAGTCCAAAAATGGGCATCTGAAATGACTAGACACTTCTCAGATAAAGAAGTAGAAGTGGCAAATAAATACATGAAAAAATGTTCAACATCACTGGTCATTGTAGAGACGCAAATTAAAACAACGTTGAGATTCCACCTCACTCCAGAAAGATGGCTATTATCAACAAATCAACCAATAACAAATGCTGGCGGGGCTGTGGGGAAAGAGGAACCCTGCTCCACTGCTGGTGGGAGTGTAGACTGGTGCAACCACTGTGGGAATCAGTGTGGAAATACCTCACAAAACTAAAACTAGAAGTTCCATTCAACTCAGCTAGTCTCCTTGGTATCTTCCTGAAAGAATGAAAAGCATCATATCACAGCAATTATATGCACACTCATGTTTATAGCAGCACAGTTTGTAATAGCTAAATCTTGGAAACAGCCCATCAACAATGAATGGATAAAGAAGATGTGTTTTCTTTTATACAGTGGAGTACTACTCTGCCACAAAGAGTAAACTTGAGACATTTCTAGCTAAGTGGATGCACCTTGAGATCATACTCTTAAGTGAGGTAAATCGTACACACACATTTAAATACCATAATGTTTCTCCAGTGTGAGAAACCAAAAGTGTAAATAAGGACCAAAATGTATAATAGATATTGAGAAACGGGAAGAAATACAAAGGAGGGGGGAGGGGTATAAGAATGAAGGGAGACAAAAAGAAAAAGAATAGAAAAATGGGAGCAAAGCTTTTGTAAATAAGGAGGGGAAGAGAAGTTGAAGGGAGAGGAGGGGAATGGGAAAAAATAAGCAAGATATATCATGTACAAGTACAAATTCTCTATGATGAATGTTATCTTATGTATCTAAAATATACCAGGGCTGGGGATTTAGCTTAGTGGTTTCACTGCCTGCCACACAAGCGCAAGGACCTGAGTTCGATCCCTGGTACCAAAAATAAATAAATAAATAAATAAAATAAAATATACCAATAAAAAAAGAACATGTGTGATTCATGAGAGGAGGTAAAAATACCAGTCTGGAAGAAACTGATTTTACATGGGAATTTCTCTATACTTCTTCTGTGCATTTTCCCGAAAGAGTTAAAGTATTATAGTAATCATATTACAGTAATAACTTTCCCTGTCACATGTATAAAGATAAACTTGGATTTGATTTCAGTAGGTGTAGGCCAGGGATTTAGCTCAGTGCTACCGCCTGCCTCACAAGCTCAAGGTCCTGAGTTGGATCCCTGGTACTGCAAAAAAAAAAAAAAAAAAAGATTTGTAGGTGTTTTCTTCTGGTTCATTCCTTACTGAGGGTCCAGCTCTGACCAAAAGATAGAGCTGAGTTCTTGAGTCTTGGTCTTGAGATAGTAGCATGGAAAGAAATTTAAGAAAAATTGCACTTGAAGTTCTGTGCTACCTTGGTGAAGTTAGGTCTTAACCAGCTTACTTAACACATGTAAGACATTGTGACAAAGCTTTTAAAACAGAAGTCTTGTCACCTTCTGTGATCCTTGATCACGCCTGATCCTTCCTCCACGCCCACATGAGTAAAATCATAGAATCCTAAGAGACTTGCCAGCAGGGATACCCAACAGGGCTGTCGGTCAGTCTCACTGTGTCTTCGACATCCGCTGTCCTTGGCGCAATGAAGAACTCGCTGCCTGAGAAGGTCAGGTTACAGAGACTCCGTGTCCTCAGTGGTGCTCTGCAGCCCAACCTGGAGACAGACGGGAGGTGCTGAGTCTAGGTTGGCGAAGTGCCAAGGAGGGACACACTCAACACAGACACACCCCAGCCCTGAAGGAGGGTGTTTCTGTCAGTAGTGATTACAACTACAAAACATAGGAAATAATCTATATGTTCAACAACAGCAGAATGTACAGTATAGGTAAACACGTGTAAGTGTAGGAAGAGGCAGCAGTTAAATATGAATGAATTACATAGGGGGCAGCTCAGCAATTGAGTGAATACTTAGCATATGTGAGGCCTTGAGTTTAATTTCCAGTACAAAAAAAAATATAGAGGAAACAATGTCAAGGTGGATAAATGCTGGGTGAATAACACAAGTGACAGAAGGGTATGGACGGTATGGTTCCATTTTAAAACAGTTACGATGAATAAGGCAATTGTTTATAAAAGTGATGATCTGGGTGTGGCGACCTACACCTGTAATCCCAGCACTCAGGAGGTTGAGGCAGGAGGATTGCCGTGAGTTCAAGGCCAGTCTGGGATACATGGTGAGTTTGAGGCCAGCCTGACCTACATAGGGAGAAAGTTTGTTTCATCTTACCCACAACATATACAATACTTTATACGATCCAACATCTTCCATATTCTGCTTTTCATACTGCAGCAGGAATCATCAGATTCACATGGGGCTGTTTGAGAAAGGAGTAACAAAAATAAAGCACAAGCCTGCTCCTGCTCCAAGCAGACCCGCTTTCCCTGCGCACCACACATGAGCCTCCTCGTGTCCCTGGGGCTGATGTCAGGTTACTGCTCTGTCCAGGCTGCTCCCAATTCAGAATTCAGTGGCAGCTGAGGCAGCGGCGAGGCCCTACTTCCTCCTCTCCCATGCCTTGTTGCTGCTGTCCCAGAAATAGCCCCGGGTGATGGCATTTAGGACAGAGACCAGGTGGGTGGCTGCTGGGCAGTCGCCACACTTCTGTTCCACACAGCCAGTGTGTGGCAGGCTCTCTGGCGTCAGCACCACAGGGCACTCCTCTCATCTTAGGACAAAGAAGAGCCAGGTTGTATTTCAACTGGGACAAAAGCATCATTAGAACCTTTCTTCCCAGGGGTCTACTACTGTTACTGTCATTTTACAAATGGGAAATGATAAAGCCTGGAGTCACAAAGGAGTTGAAAGAGAATGACTAGTGACACCATCCTGAATGCCTCATTTCTGTTCCAATAATGAACCACGTTCTTTTGGTAACTGAAAATCTAGGTCTGATGAAGTGGAAGACTCTAAGAGCCCTAGAAAAATGAAATCATCACACATCGAATTTGTAGACAGAGGACTAGGGAAGAAAAGAAGTGCAAGGAGAAAGCCAGGATAGAAACACAGTGGTGCTGGGGACCGAGCCCTGGGCTGCAGCCCTTTTTAAATTTTAACTTAGAATTTTTTTTTTTTTGTACCGGGGATCAGACTTGGGACCTTGTGCTTGTGAGGCAGGCAGCAGAACCACTCAACTAAATACCTGGCTCTTTTTATTTTAAATTTTGAGACAGGGTCTTGCTAAACTGCCCTTGATCCTCCTGCCTCAGCCTCCCAGAGTCCTGGGATTACAGATGTGTGTCATCACACCTGGCTCTTTAAGACTACTACATTTAAAGTTCATATCTACAAAGCATGTTTTTAATTATATCTAGGTACTATTATATATCTCAGAAAATTTAAACTATTAATGTACGTTTCAAAAATTCTTTTTTTTTTTTTTTTGAGACAGAGTCTCAGTGTATAGTTCAGGCTGCCTTTGAACTGACTATATAGCCTAGTTGGACCTTGAACTTGCAGCAATCCTCCTGCCTCAGCCTCTCAAGTGCCAGGATTACTTGTCTCAAAAATTCTTAACTTTTCTAAATGATGATATGGTCATCTGGTCTTACATCAAAACTTATTGAGATATCTCTGAGACTTACCTGGATCTAAGATTAGAAATTAAGTTGAAATACAGACATCATACGTATTAATCTATAAAGTATAAAGTTTGAAATAAATATGACCCAAGGTGCTGGAACCTAAGTCTTCAGTTGGTCTCAATGTTATTTTTACCACCCTGGGTCTCGTACATGTTGGGTGAATGCTCTACCCATTGAGCTCCAGCCCCAGCCTTCAACATTATGAAATTTTTCAACCACACAGAAAGTTGAGAACTGCACAGTGAATACCTATGTAATCATTAAATTCTACATTTAATAGTTTACAGAGTTGGCTTTATCACATATACATCCTTCTATCTATCCTGTGATCTTTTTTTTAAAAAAGATGCATTTTGTTCTTGCTTCAGCAGCACTTAGAGTAAAATCAGAATCGTATAGAGATGAGTTTGGCCCCTTCACATGGATGACACGAAAATTCAGGACATGTTCCACATTTCTAAAAACGCACTCATGGCCTTGAGAACCAAACACACAGAACCAAACACACAGAGAAATGAACGCTTCTCCACCCAGAGAAAGCTGATTAAAATCAGTGCACTGTGCCCCACAGGTATCCAAGAGGTCACCATTAGGGGAAGCGGGCTGAGAGGTGAGCGCTGTATCTCTTACAGTTGCACATGAACCTACAATTATCCCAAAGTAGAAGGCTAAAAAACAAAACCAAAAATATGGCAAGGGAAGTTTTGGGCACCGATCGCAGTGTTACCTTTCTGCCCCATGTGAGCCCTTGGAAGGTGCCGCTCGGGTATAAGTGAGCGTGGTGAGGCTGCTGCTGGAAGACCAGGAAGAGCGTCACGAGATAAGGACCTTCGGGTTCCGGCTCATGATCAGAGGCTTCTCTAAGGAAGTAGTGTTCACAGTGACTGTGGAATGGTTCGTGCTTGTGTTGAGGATGGTGGGATGGGTTTCCATGCTGGAATTTCTCCAGAGCACCATCCAGAAAGAGAGATAGTTAATCAGTCCTCCATCGATGTCTTTTATTTATTTATTTTTTTGGCAGTGCCAAGGCCTAGAACCTTTTAGAGCTTTCAATGATACAAACATTCCACTGTGCACATGTGCCATAGGTTTGCTACCACTGACCTAAGGCATGCTAGGCAAGCACTTTACCAATGAGCTACATTGCCAGCTCTAAGTCACCCAGGTTGGCCTCAAACTCTCAGTCCTCCTGCCTCAGCCTCCCAAGTAGCTGGGATTGTAATAGGTGTGCACTACCACTCTTAATATTCAGTCTTCTTTGGACACTAGTAACACAGTGCCCAGGACTAAGGAGGAGTATATAGTTTAAGACCTAAAACCCCTTGTCCTATATCAGTGAAAAATTCCTGAAATGTTAATAACAGCGGCACTACCATGAATCCAAAATGACCTTCAAATTGTTGCATCCTTATGTCCTCCAGGATATGCTAGTCCCTATTTTATAAGAAGTAGCTCATACCACAATATCTTCCACTAAACTACAGATGTGGAGTGGTTCATATTCTGAGCTTATTAACATCCTTCCAATGCTTCCAACAATGTCTAAGTTGTCAAAATCCTTGAAGGGATCGAAAACCAATCCTGTCATCTAGAGACAAAGGAAAGTCTGGTTGCATCAACTGCAAAATATTTATAAATGACCCCCTGATAGATAACAAGGTATCAGATATGTTAAATGCAGGGATTTTCCCTCTGCTAATATCTGAAGAGAAATGATACTCAACATTGTGACATCTGTAAGAAACAAAATTAAGAGCCAGGCAACTTGGATACTTGGGACTCTTTGAACTTTTTTGTTGGTGACATTAGGGATTGAACACAGAGTCTTTGCACTGAGCTACATCCCCAGCCTTTTAATAAATTTTTTAAATTATTATTTTTTGGTACAGGGTCTAAGGCACTAAGTGATGAGGCCCAGCTTAAACCTGTTATCCTCCTGCTTCAGCCTCCCAGAGTGCTGGGACAACAGGCATGTAACACCAGGCCTGGCTTCTGAATCATTTTTTAAAAATGCATTTATACTGGAAGGATTCTGTTGTACTAGCAGTAAGTATTCTGCTCTCCAAGATAACATGACCATAGTGCTTGGGTTTGTTAGGTAACTGCTGAAAGAAATACACTTTGATATCACTAGCTCAGTATGTGAGTCAGTAATTATTCAGATGCTCCCAGCTTTGTGAAAAGTGAGATAAATCCAAATCATAACTTGGAAACTTAAACTCAGAAATTTGTTTAATGCTCCCAACCTGTGTGCTGGATCATTTTTACAAGGACTTTATCCTGCCAGTTTAAAACAGAAATTAACTAGCCAGGTGTGGTGGTCGGGCCTGTAATCCCCAGCACTCGAGAGGCTGAGGCAGGAGGATGGCTGTGAGTTCAAGGCCAGCCTGAACTACACAGTGAGAGCTGGTGTTGCACGCGGTCTTCTGTCCTGCGGTGTGGGTGTCCACTTATACATCACAGCACGTTCCCTTCACGCTCATCCCTAGGCTGCCATCGAGTCCCATTTTCATTCCTATCAGCATCAATTTCACACTCACTTGGACATTAACTCCTGGGCATTTATTCAAGAGCTCCTTCAAAGCTGAAGCTGATGGAAATATGAACCTCATAGGTGCTGGGTGACCCAGAGTATATGAGCTCAGAGGCAAAGCTGATGTGCTTTGGCTGATGAAAAAGAAATTAAAATGGAAATTAGTTTGTGTGTTCTCTAGAAGTCAAAAATCAAAACTGGAACTCTCCTCCTTCCTCCCGCTGTTAACCCGGTCAGTGTCAGAGTAGCAGCGATGAGGTCAAAGTCAACAAAGACTCAGAAGAATCTTTTTTGTCATCATTCCCTAAATGACACAATATAACACATTTACATAGCGTTTACATTATAACGGCTTATAAATAATCTGAGGATGACTTAAAGCACAGCAGGTATGATTAAAAAGTATGGTGTGTGTTTAAATAAAATTGTTACAGAAGAAGAACACTGCTTTCATCCCCCTCAGAATACTCTCCTTCTCTTTGAACACACTACCCCGTCATTCTTGCCTCTCTCTCAGGCAGTTCTTGAAGTCCTCTTTTGGGGCACTGCCCTGGCCGCCTTGATGTCCTGAATTGACTCAACACATTTACCTTTCATGGTCATTTTGACTGGGGAAGAGCTAGACGTTGCACGGTGCCAGATCAGGTGAATAAGGAGGACAAGGACACACTGTCTTGTTGTTCTGAGCCTGCCTTTCTGTTGGATGGCACTCGGCGGCAGCACTCACTGCATTTTTTTCCTTCAGTACCAGGGATCGAACTCAGGACCTTGCGCTTGCCAGGCAGGCACAGTGCCACTGAGATGCATGCCTGGCCCACTCACTGCATTTTTGATCACACCTTGTAAAGACACTCATGAAAGAGCACTTCCCAAACAGTTTCAGACAGTGGCTAGAAAGATGAGATAAGTGTGCTTGAAGCTAAGGCAAGTATCTTGAGGGGAAATTAATAGGAAAAATGTTCGATGTAAACATTCCCTGTATGTTTCTATCACATAGGGTGTGTGTGGGTTACATGCAGTTGCTAAGCCACTTTATCCAAGGGACTTGGGCATCCACAGGTTTTGGTATCTACAGATGCAGATTGGTCCCGAAACCAATTCTCTATCACTACTGGAGGATGATTTTTTAAGTTTTCCAAAATATATCAACTTTACTTGCATCAAATGTGATCACTGAACATTTTTTAGCCAAGTCACAAGTACATACCCATTTATAAGGCATCCAGAAGTTTGTTTTCACATTTGTTTTATATATATATATGTCTATCAACAACAATAGCACTTTCTAAATTGCTCTTTTATGTGATATTTAAAGGTCTGTTGACAAGGATGTCTAATACTTGCAGTAGTGAGGTCATCGTCCTAGAAATAATCCCTAGATTCACTTTAAATTTGTCTCTCTTTTTTTTTTTTGTACCGGGGATTGAACTTGGGACCTTGCACTTGCGAGGCAGGAAGTGGAAAACCGCTGACCTAAATCCCCGGCCCTAAATTTGTCTCTTTTTATCCTTTCATGGTGATCTCTATGATCACCCAACACTGATAGCAATTGAGGTAATTTCAGGCTAAGGCATCTTTCCCAAATAGTGTAAAATGAGAAAGAGGGGGCACCATGATTTGAAAGATTTTGTAAAGACTTTAAGAAGACATTTTTCTTTCGTGATGGCTAATTTTATGGAAAATCTTTTTACATTCTTTCTGTGAGGCACATGCAGAAAGACTGCCAAAGGTATATCAAGAAAATAAGTACATAGAAAGTAAAAGCAGAGTGCAGAGTTAAGATCAAACACTGTAGATGAGCAAATACCTGAGTACCTGCTATGGCAACACATTTCATGAGGATTATCTCAGCCCGGTGCCTCCTTTCAGCAGGACGGAAGAGCACATTTTAGAGAAATAGCTCCTTACCTGAGATATTGTTTTTCCTTGGGGTGTGACTTCTCTTTTTGTCTTCTTGGGTCTCCCATATAAATGAGAATTATGTTCATTTCTTTTAAAACTGCATCTTGGTCTGAAAAGACATCTATTTAGAGGCCAATGCAAAAGTTAAACTATAGGTTATAGCTCTAGCGGTGAGCCTGAAGATTATCATCACAGGCACAAGTATAATAACCAGGAAAACATGAATTAAAGAGTATCCATTTTTTTTCAGTGACGCTGGAGTTCTGCTCTGGATCATGGTCACATCACCTTATACAACCCAACATTTCAAACTGGGCCCAGCAATTGGGTCAACACTGAGAAAAGAATCTAACACTCTTAGAGCTGGATAAGAGCCAGGAGGTGGCAATGACTTTCTTCTTTCTCTCACAGTGCTGGAAATTGAGCCAGCTGCAGGCATGTGAAGCAAAGCCCAAGCTCTACAGCAAGCTACACCACGTTCTCAGATGTGCCCCCTTTTCTACATGTGCAAGAGCCCCTCCCCACACAAGCTGTTAGTTAACATAATTGGAGACAGTCACACAACCGTGTTGATCACATCTTGAATTCAGGGTCATGAACCTTTACAAGGCCTGGCATCCACATGTTTCCTTGGTCTGTTGACACTTGCACTCCCAGGAAGACATTTTCCCATCTCTCCTTCTCTGCGACCTTCAACACTGTCAGCAAACCACAGGCCTCCCTTATCCTCATTCTCAGGTTGGGTGACAACCGTGCCTCCTAACTTGAGGAGAAAACTAAAGCCCTTTAGAGAGTCCTTCCAGGGCGCCTACCCTCACCTGTTCCAGTACATCTGAGCTTCTCTCATGTGACCGAGACCCCTACACTCTCCTCCTGTGCCCTCCAGCCAGGCAGCAGCTCGCGCCAGGCGCATCCTTCCAGCAAGCTGCTTTCCTGCCTCAAGGAAAACCAACAATGTGTACTGGCCCTAGGAACTACTGCTCTGGGTCTTTTCTCTTCTGATGCAAAATTATCTTTAAAGAATCATTCAAATTTGCTGGTTCCAGTTCCTCTCCTCTGATCTCTATTTTTAGGAAGTACTTTTTAAATTTTTCAGCGTTTTACAATTTTCTTAGTCCTTGCTGTGGTGGTAAACAGCACACCATAGACTTGGAAGCACATAAGGAACATTCACTTCCCATGGCTCTGGAGGCTGGAAGTCTAAATGGTGACTGGAAGGGCCATATGCTCTGGAGGGAGGACCATGGCATCCTCCCCTGGTGGGAGGTTGAGGAAGCAGAGAGAGCAGACTCCCTGCACCAAGCCCGTTTCTAAGGACACCTAATCCCATTCCCTAGGGCACAGTGCTGAAGGTTCCATCACTTTTTGTGGTACTGAAGATTGAACCCAGGACCTTCACACTGAGCTACATCCTTAGCCCTTTGCTTTTATTTTTGAGACAGGGTCTTGCTAAGTTGCTAAATGGCCCAGGATGGGATGGATCTGGCAATCCTCCTGGCTCAGCCTCCCAGGGTGCTGAGATTACAGGTATGCACCACCACACCTGGCTGCTTCATCACCTCTTAAAGGCTCTGCCTTGGAAACCCATCACATTAGCATATCTGAATTTTAGCCTGACACATTCAAACCTTAGCAGTTTAAAAAACATTTACAATTTCTATATCAAACTATAAGACAAGATACATTTGGAAAGGCCTGATTGTGCTTATTGCTGTATTCCCTTCATCACCCATAGGTAACTATCTTCATTAGTTGTTTGTTCTGTTACATCTCTATATATCTATGTATATACATGTGCAAACACAGATTCATAGTATCCCTTAAAGTAGCATACTCTACACATTGTTTTGCATTTTGCCTTTCTTTTGTTTTGCAATAGAAAAAAATAGAGACAACCCTGAGGCAGTTCATAGAGTGCATAAAGGTGCATGAAGTTGCATGGTTTAAGCAGCTGCTAAGCTGTTTCCCAGCATGATATTATTTCTCATTTCTACCAGCAGTTTATGAGTGAACCAGTTACTCTCTGTCCTCAACAGAATTTGATGTCACTATTTTTATTTTAGCCATTCTGATGGGTGTGTTTTGGTATTTTATTATGGTTTTTTCATTTTCCTATTGGCTGTTGTTAATTTCAAATGCTTATTTGTCCCCTTCAGTGAAATGCCTCATGATTTTGCCCATTTCTAACTGTAATGTTTGGGTTTGTTTTACTATTTTGAGTGTTCTTTATATATTTTAGATATGAGTCTTTTGTCTGATATGCACAAGTACATGGATGAAAATATCAGCAAATGCATTTTCATTCCAAAACTGAAGTCTAGTGAAAAATGTACGCATAAATGGTACCTCAGTGGATGAACTCAATTCTCTCCACGATTGTGGTCGCAAACTGAACTGGATGAAAACCAAATCAAATTTTCCCATAAGGTCAACATTGAACCTAACCATTGAATTTGATTCCATTCTCGTCCAAGTCGGTTTGCATGAGACCAGAATCGTGGAAAGAATCAAGTTCATCAACTGAGGTACCACTGTATCCTCAACTGGCTACATTAGGAGTTGCATTTCCAGTCCTGGCGATGGGGGGGCCATGCCGAGTAATCTGAGGGCCACGAATGGTTCACAGGTGTGAGGCGGCCGATGTTAGTTCGTGTGCACACGAAGTGCACGTGCACTGGACTCAATCAGAGATCAGCCTCCATAACAGCACCAGGCTCTCAGGCAAAACAGAACCAGTACCACAAAGAGCCAAGAGGGTAGAAAATGAAGCTAGAAATTCAGTGCATTGAGGTATTGGGGACTTTCAATATTCCCATTTGAGAAAGGTGACTTTTTACTAGAATACAGAAGAGTCCAGCATTTTCCATGTTAATTACCCCCAGGTGCTTCAAATATGTTTAACAAGAATATATTTGTGATTTTTTTAAAGTAGAAAAAAATTTTACATAAATAATCACACACTAAGGTTTCCAAGAATTCACTGAACTAAGGATAAATGCTTTATAAAAGCGGAAGCCACCACCAGGAGAAATGATGTTTAATTAAAAAAAAAAACGAGTTACACACAAATAATTAAGTAAAACTTGACGCTTCTCATTTTCCTTTATTACATTCTCTTTTTCTCCTTTGCTTTCCCATTTTTCTCTCTTAAGCTCCAGTGCCAAACAGATTAGCACTGGAAAATGAGGGTTATCAATTACATTTCTTTTGCACCTCACCCAAGTCAAGACAGGATGAGGACTTCAAGGCCCAATTCTTTCCCAACTACCAGAGGTGCACAAGGAAATTACCCTAGATGAGCACTTTCTTATTTCTAATCACTGCCATGAAAACTAAAACCCACTCTACAGTATCACTCCCAGATTATTTAATATTCTCAATGCACTCTTTAAAATCAGTTTTCAAAAATTTTTATTTTTATCGGTACATGTTTATAGTAATAATGATTATATAACATTCTTAATTCTTTATATTGCCCCTCCCCTCCCTTCTTCTAAAATCAGTGTTTGAAATTACAAGTGATGTAGTGTCATCACTTACCAGCCTGGCAAATGAAGTAATGCCTCTTGGAGCATTGTCCTCCTCGGATAAGATCTCCCTGGTGAGTTGGGACACAGTGGTACAGCTGACTGGCTTTGTGGTCCAGGAGGCTGTGATAGCTTCCATGGGGAGATCAGATTCAGATGAGCCTCCTACTTCGAAGTTACACCTTTAAAAAAAGTAAATATGAAAGCCCTATTTGGCTGCCTTGAAGTAGATTAAAATTCAGGACTTCCCTCCACATTTTGTAGATTATTTCATATTATTTATAATTAATACATATTATATATTTATTATATTTCATATTATCATAAAGCTTAGTATTTACTTAGACATTAATGAAGATGACAATGATAATATCTTGGATTTTTCTCTAAAACTGCAAGATCATGGTACATAATTATGAAAATGTCTATATGAGAAAGACAATAAGTACATAATTTTTCTCCTGGTTTCTGCGTTAGGAAATCTGGGACCAATTTTACCAGGAAAAAATAACCATAACAGAATATTGCACAGGACTTTTCATGAAAAATCAGGTAGCTTTAGTTAGGCTATGCTATACAGACAAATCAAAGGCCATAGCACAAAAGTGACAATATTTCAGAGGGGTGATAGTAATGAGGCAAAGTGACTGGCTGTTCTGAACATAAATGCAGACATAAAAACAGCATTCCTTCTCCTGTCCCACAGGATGATGGAAGGAAGTTTCCTTCACCAGCGCTACACCCCAGGGCCGAACTGTGAAGATTCTTGTGACGCCCAAGGGACCAATGTCTGCCAGGGTTGATTCAGGAGACAGAAGACTGCTGACTTGAGGAGTGGAAATGTCTTGAAGATGGGATGTTTTGCCAGCTTGTACTAAGTTGATCTTATGGGGAAAACAAGGAAGCTCCAAAGGGGGCAATCAGATAAAAGTTACTCAGTCAAACTGTTACTATGCCTTGCTTGTCTCCCTTGGTACCTAAAACAAATCTGCACTCAGCAGAACTCTATGCCTTTGTTGTTCCTCAATAAATCTGGGGGTTTGAGTCAGTTCAGGGCTTCACTCCATTCTGGTGAAGTTCCCTAACCCCTGCCCCAAGATATTCTCTGTCTCTCAAGGCTGCGTTCGTCTAACAGAGTTTGCTGGCCGAACTCAGCACCTACCTGGGTGGCAGCTTCCTGGTGGCTTTCTCAGTGGCCTTGGACTTTGCTCACCACTTTGTCCCTTCTTCCAGAAAGCTCTGGATGAGCTCTGGGACCCTTTGCTTCCAAGTGCGAACAAGGTATCCTCCCTGGTCAGGACAGTAACTTTCTGCTTCCTTAAAGTTGCAGCGAAAACTGGTAAGCTGATAGCAATGATATTTCCCACAATGCTTGGGGGTCTTCACTCACTTCCTAGGATGACCACTGCTCCCATGAATAACCAGAGGCAGGTCCTTCCTTGGAAAAACATTCTCTGTGAACTATGAGCAAGAAAAAATATGGGGTTCAGCAGTGTGGGGGTCCTTAAATATGTATGTTGGTGGGTTTATCAAATGTATTGATATTGTTCTTTTATGAATTGGGAATAATTTACCAAGGAGACATAAGGTTTTGCTCTGTTTGGAGGACGCAACTTCCTGCAGGCTGAAAACAAAAAAAGATTGATAAAGAGTCTTTACAGCTGAGGCTTCACTGTCTCCACCTGTGTCTGCACAACCAGGTGTGCCATTAGCATACAGGCCCATTATAAAACAAGTCTAAGTTTTTTTTTTGTTGGTACCGGGGATCGAACTCGGGTCCTTCTGCTTGCGAGGCAGACGGTGGAACCACTGAGCTAAATCCCCGGCCCTAAGTTTTAAGGGTGTAGAGGCTGATGGATTGCTAAGTCAGTGTTGCTAAAAATTGCTAAACGTATTTTTTTAAAGAAAATTTATATAGACCCCTATGATTTTTAGAAATAAATTTTACTGTGTATTTTTAAAGCATACAACATAATGCTATGGGATACATATAGATTAAGGCATTACTATAGGGAAAGAATATATGCATCGTTACCCTTTTAAGATTTTGTGGAAAGGGCTGAAATCTATTCTTTCATGTACAGTACGTAGGCAGTACAATTTTATTACCAGCAATCCCCATGTGATATATTACACCCGTAGACTTACTCATTTTACAAATCTATTACCCTACAATTGATTTAAATTATCATATTCTGTTTCTTAAATACTTGTAGACAAAACCAGGCATGAATTTCGTTTTAAATTTCTTTAAAAAGAAAAAAATTTTTTTTTTTGGTACCAGGGATTGAACTCGGGTCCTTGCACTTGTGAGGCAGGTGGCAGAACCACTGAGCTACATCCCTGGCCCTCATTTTAAATTTCTCACATAAGAAATAAATATTTGATAAAAGAATGAATACAAATTAAATACAAACAAGACTGAAAACCAAAGAAATTCAGATTTTGCTGAAGTAAATAGCAGATACACCTAGTTGTGACCTGCAACTGCAGAGGTTCCTCTGAACCTGTTGCAAGCTATTTCATGCTGTAGAGAAGATTCAGTTCTCTTGCCATTTTCCTTTGTTAGACTTCCTGGAAATCCTGTGTCCCTACAGCATGCCCCACACTCTGCACCTGCTGCACGCATCATTCCTCTGCTACAACTGCTTCCTCCTTGGTGCCAGAAAGTGACCTTAAATGCAGACAGATGTTGGTGCTGACATCACTGGGCAGCCTTCAGGGTTAAGATGGTTACACAGTGGTCCAAATGATGCCCCCACTCCCCATCCTTGAGTGTGGTGCTGGGGATTAACCCAGGGCCCCATATGAGATTGCCAAAAACTCTATCACTGAGCTACAGCCCCAGCACTACCATTTACATTACTTTTGACAATCAGCATGGAAACTTAAAATATGTTTAACAGTGTGTTAGTCAAAATTAGCTGTAAATGAGTATGTGCTAAGCAAATTGAGTGATACCATTTTTGTAAAGCTGTTCACATGAATGATAAATACTACTGATGAGAAAACAATCAGCATGGAAAAAGACACTAAAATTAAAATTTCTCTAGAGCATAGATTCAGAATACATCCCTTAATTTGAAAAGCTCTGCAGTGATCTAATGAACGATAAAGATATTATGGTCACTTCTTTCAAAGGCCTAATTATTACAAATGACATAAATGTAATAACAGTGAAAAGTGTCAGCATAGAGGAGTACCTTAAGTGAAATGAAGGTTCAGTTGAGGAGGAAATCACTTGTGGCATTTGAGTTGGACATATAAGGATGGCTGTATTTAGACCACTGAGAGGGGCGTCTTGCCAGCTGTCAGTGTGAGTAAATGCATGGAGGTGGGAGACCGAAAGGAGTGAAAGACTCAATTCTTTGAGTACGTGCAGTGGGCACCTGGTGGGACAGTAGGGGGAATGCTGACCAGACAATACGAGTGTCTTGAATGCCAGGATAAAGAGTACAGTTTGTCTAGAGGGGTTCTGAACATGGTTGTCTGCTCTTAATAACACATCATTTGGGTGAAGGAGGCTTTCATTTTCAAGCCTCACAGAGTTGCAGACTGAAAACATCTTCAAATGCAAATATAAGTACCCAACAAGCACTTAAGCCTTGGGTATTTATTTATTTATTTAGGTGTTTTCTCATTGTGCAGTCCAGGCTGGCCTCGAACTCACGGTGATCCTCCTGCCTCAGCCACCCATGTGCTGGGATTACAGGCATGCACCAAGGTCTCATGGGTTTTTAAATGAAACATAATGTTGATGGAGTCTCTGAAAGCCAACTCAGATATTTTACAGTGTTCTAGTTTCATTTCAACCCTCTTCCTACCATTTAATACATAAAGCATTCTATCGAAAAGTTTAAGTGATAAAATTGGTGAGAATATGCTTAAAACTGAAAGAATCAATATACAAGTAGTTTTTTTGTCCAAGATAATAATTTATGTTGACCAACAAAATTACAGTATGGTGAATTAACTTATGCAAGTATAAAAGGAAGACAGACTGGCAAGCTTATATTTATTGTATATAGACTCCGATGCCTAATGTGAATTTTTGCAGTAGAAACTGTCTATCACTGGAGCTCTGAATTTGCTCCAACTTTATACTTTCATATAATTGATGAAGTTGAAAAATGAACGGCTCAAGGTGCTTCTACTCTAATTTCTGCTATGACAACACTCCAGCTATTTCAGCTGATAGAACAGCAGCTAGGAGGAACAATACGCCTGGCCAAAAATAATACGATGTGTAGTCTCTGAACTGTAAGTGTAATTATTGCTATTGACAATGAAGCTACAAAAGCTTTCTCCAACATCTAGGAACCTGGTTAGGTAAGAGATTCCAATTTTTTTTTAACTTCAAAATTCTTGATTGGAACATGAGAGGACTATAAATGACACACAAGTTCAGCGTAACTCACTGCAATGTCTAACAGTCCAACAAAGCTGCACCTCGGGGCCTTGATTAGGAAGAGTATTTAAAAAATACTCTTCACTGTGGGGCCAAGGATTTAGCTTAGTGGCACTGCACCTGCCTTGTAGGTGCAAGGTCCTGAGTTTGATCCCCGGTACGGGGCGGGGGTACTCTTCACTGTGGTATGATGCTTTTAATTCTTTGGGGAAGACACCCAGCTGGGGAATAGCTGAGTCAAATGCGACCTCTAATCCCAGTTTTTTGAGGAGTCTCCACACTGATTTCCATAGTGGTTGTAACAGTCTACACTCCCACCAATAGTGGAGAAGGGTTCCTTTTTCTCCACAACCCTGCCAGGATTTGTTGTTAAACTAGAGACATTTATAGATAATGGATGCATATCGAGGGCATGCTCTTAAGTGAAATAAATAGGACACACATGTGTAAATACTGAATTGTTTCTTTGGTATGAGAAATTGAAAGTGTAAATGAGGACCAAAATGTATACTAGATAATATGAAATAGGAAGCAAAGGTTTAAAGGGGAAAGGGAAGTAGGGGAAGTTGGGGGAAAGGAAAGAAGGGAAAGAAAAAATACAAGAAAAGAAGGAAAAAACAGAAACAAAGCTTTTGTAAATAGGGAGGGAAGGGGAATGGAAAAAAACAAGAACTAAGATATATCATGTACAGGTACGAATTCCCAATGCTGAATGTGATCATAAGGTATACCTAGAATGTACCAATAAAGTTAATTTAAGAAAAACTCTTCACATCTGTTGCACCAGAATTTCAAGGCATAAACAGAGCCACCTTACTCATTAGGCAAAAGGTTTAGGACTCCTAATACTCTGATGGGGTTGAGAGAATGTTTTCTTTTTTGAAGGAAAACCTCTATTGGTGCATTCTGAATATATGTAGTTAACATTCATCATGGGAATTTGTACCTGTGCAGGATATATCTTGCTGCTCCCCCCTCCACACACACTTTGGCCTCCTCTTCCCTTCATTATTTGCAAAAGCTATGTTTCCAGTTGAGAATGTTTTCTTTTAAAACCTGAAGAAAAATGAGCTTTCAAGTAGAAAAAGCTTATACATATTAATCTTTTTTTTTTTTTGTACTGGGGATCGAACTCAGGACCTTGCACTTGTGAAGCAGGCGTGGTCCCACTGAGCGAAATCCCTGGCCCCTGCTTATACATATTAATATATTCATTTTATATCAACACAGTAATAACTTATTTTTCAAATTGATAACTAAAAATTATATTTATGGTATACAGTGCATTTTATGTATACGCTGTAAAGTTCTTGTTTTCTTTTAGATTCCCCCAATACCTATACAATTCTTGATTTTCCTTGAGGAAGGAGCCCATGAAAGTTGTAGCTCTGGCAAAAAAATGACCATTTGGAGTGTTCAGGCTGCCTTTTCCTCTGTTCCTAAGCTCAGTGGAGGGAAGCACAAGGTTGAGGCAGGGTCTGGGAGCCTTGTGGGTACTACTTCAGCTCTTCTGTGGATCTCAGAGGACATCACTCCCCACTTTAGGGGCTCTGAAAGCCTTTTTCTTCACCCAGAGCTTTGTTCCCCATTGACGTGCAGATTCAAGCCTGCAAGACTGCAGACAAATTGCACTGCAGCAGCCCCATCTGCCTGGCCCGCTGGCAGCCTTGCACCTCTTGCAAGGAGGAGGAGCGCAGCCCTACCATGGTCAAACTACCAATTCCTAGTGAGCTCTGTATCTTTGTTCTCTTCAGCACAGGCAGCAGAGGTGACAGCCAAATGACCAGCCTGAATGAGGACAAGACCATCACCCCAAAGCAGAGTTTCACTCCAGGAAGTGTTATCCCCCTGCAGAGACTAGTGGCAGACAGCCATGGGAGACAGGCTCAGAGAGGGTGAGAGCTAGACATAGACCACTCTGGACGCTCAAAACAAGGAGAGGAAGATCACAAGGCCCGCATTCTGTGGTGGGAGGCTAGGTCTGGTGGGTGTAACCTTCAGAGGAGTCTAGATGGAAAGGTGATGGCATTGAGTCCAGTGGTCTGTTTG